GAAGGGGATGAGGGTCGTATGTGTGTCAACACTGAATGGGGCGCCTTCGGGGATTCAGGAGAGCTGGATGAGTTCCTGCTGGAATACGACCGCATGGTGGACGAGAGTTCTGTGAACCCCGGTCAGCAGCTGTAAGGATGCCCCCCTCCCTCCCAGCCCAACTTTGGGCACGTAGCAGCAGATGAGAATTGAGCCACAACACATCATGGCTTGTTTATAAGTAGCTCTGGGGGAAAGCAAATTGATGGCCCCTCTGTGAGCTGGCTCCTTCCTTCAGTTCAGTCATGACCTGCCCCCTGTGAACTGCCGTGGTGTAGTGATGGTATAATGCCCTTCTTCTCTGCTCTGACAGGCCACCTCCTGCCACACATGGATCTGAGAGGCCCTCACAAGATTTAAACCAGAGTTCCCCCATGGCACATGGGTCCCAGTTTCACAAACTGAATATTAGTATTTTTGTAGAATGCTGTAGGTTGGCAGAACACATCTGAGAGCCAGTTGCACAGAACTTGTCATTAATCGTGGCTATCATGTGCTAGGCACCTACTTGGTAACAGTCCTGTACTACTTCATGAGCTTCAGCTCAGACCCTCACAGGCCCCTGTTAGCTTATTAGTATCAGGTGTATTTCAGGATGAAAATATGGAGCCTCACAAATTAAGCAAAGATATGGCAGTCTGCAGTGTGCCACGCTGGGCACTAACACTGCCACAAGCTGTGTGCTTAACACAAAGCTTGCAGGGGTCTGGTATCAGAAGACTGCATAGGCTCCTCAAGCCCCTGTCCCTTTCATACACCAGAGCCAACAACAAAGCCAGATGTGATCCCTCAACTTTATTGAAAATGTGCACATTCCTAGCTCAGGAAGTTTCTGAAGCCTTGGTTTACAAATATGTGGGAGGCTCGAGGGCGAGTACATTGGACAATGACTTGGGTGGAGGTGGGCATGGGTGAGGTATCCCACTATCGGACTTATATAACTGGAATGGAGCCTGGGGGGGATTTCCCCTAAGGGCCAGCTGGCATAATCAGCCATCCTGTGTCCAGGTACGAAAAGCTCATTGGCGGGAAGTACATGGGCGAGCTGGTACGACTTGTGCTGCTCAAGCTGGTGGACGAGAACCTTCTGTTCCATGGAGAGGCCTCGGAGAAGCTGCGCACGCGCGGTGCCTTCGAAACCCGCTTTGTGTCGCAGGTGGAGAGGTGCCTGAAGGGGGCAGGACCAGGGCGGGGTGCAGGAGGAGGGAAGGGGGTGGGAGCTGGGTTGGGCCCAGGGGCGGCGACACAGAGGAATGGGGCAGGCTCTGGGGAAGGCAGAGTACCAGGTTAGGGGCACAGTGGGGACATGGAACCGGGACCTTTGGCCCCTAGTCAAGCCGCGAGGGGCGCTGACTCTATGCACACGTTCCCTGGTCACTTTCAACTAGCAGAAGCCACTGTCTCTCTTCGTCCAAGCCACAGCCCTGAGACGTGGCGTTGTCACCCCCATTTAGTCAGAACAGAACTGACCAAGCAACTGCTGCTCCTGGGCTGGGTCGCTAGGGTCCTTCCCACTTCTCCAGGAGGGGCTCCCCCATTTGGCCATCTAGCCCTCAGCGGCTGCCCTCCCCCGTCCTGCCTGCAGCGACTCCGGCGACCGCAAGCAGATCCACAACATCCTAAGTACTTTGGGGCTTCGGCCTTCAATCACCGACTGCGACATCGTGCGTCACGCCTGCGAGAGCGTGTCCACCCGCGCCGCGCACATGTGCTCAGCCGGACTGGCGGGGGTCATCAATCGCATGCGCGAGAGCCGTAGCGAGGAGGTGATGCGTATCACGGTGGGCGTGGATGGCTCCGTGTACAAGTTGCACCCTAGGTGAGCCCCACCTTCCCACCACGGTCCAGCCTCTCCCTACCAAAGGGAGACCCGGAGGGCGTGGCTCTCAGCTGCAGGCATTTGTGAGCTTGTCCTGTTTCCCGGCTGGGCCTCCTGGATGCTGAGGACAGTCCCCTAGGGGAGCCCGCCCACGATGTCGTGAACTGGTGGCAGGGGTGACATCTGTGAAGGTGGGAGGAGAGACAGCAGCCCTGTTTTCCTCTTGTTCAGCTTCAAGGAGCGGTTCCACGCCAGCGTGCGCAGGCTGACGCCCAACTGCGAAATCACTTTCATCGAATCAGAGGAGGGCAGCGGCAGGGGGGCAGCCCTGGTCTCTGCGGTGGCCTGCAAGAAGGCCTGCATGCTGGGCCAGTGAGATCCAAGCCACAAGGGTAGGGACCTGGACTCCTGAGGGACTTCACACCCCACAGGTGCACCCAGCCCAACAGGGCAGGGGGCCTCCAATTCTGCTGCTATCCCTGGAAGACAGAGAGAGGGCCCTGCAAGCAGAGCAGGCCTCTTCTCCAGAGTCAGTGGGACAGCCCTAGAACCCTCGGACTCGGGGCCCGGGGCTGGGAGGAGGAGGAACCTCTAGAGAAGCCAAAGCCTTTCTTGCTAGACTCATCTACTGAGAAGGGAGTTGCTCACTCAGGGCATGGCTTCTACACTTCTTGCCGCTCAACAGCTGTGGGCCTGGCCTGGCTGGCCTTCCAAGGGAGTGTCCCCTGGACCTTGCTATGGCCTGGCTTCCCTGAGAAGTCACCCTGCCATGGAGCGGCAGTTCTACTAGGTTGGCCAGACCAGACATGGGCTCCCAAGAAAGCAAGGGCTGCTGGTTACCCAGGCCTGAATATTTTCTTGCCAGTGACTGAAGAGACTAGGGAGCCCTGGAAGAAGGCACAGTTGAATAGAGAGGACTTTTCAGGACACAGATGCCTCAAGGAGACTCTTTCCTTCACATACACCCACCCCTGAGTGGCTTGTGGTTCCAGGATGAGCCTTCCCAGGAGATGCCAGAGGAGAGAGCCTCCAAGCCCCTGCTACAAGGAGATCAGAAAGGGTGAGGAGGCCTCACCCTGCACCACTGGGAACACCCCCACCCTCAAGCAGGATGGTATCTTCAACTCTCAAATCTCTGCTCCAGGAGGAAACAGCAAGCTGGGCTCAGTATCCTCCAAGGAACCACCCAGACCCTTCTCCCTCATCCTCATCTGGCCACGTACCATGCCACCGTCTCTACACTAACCTGGGACTGTGTGGGAGTTTTTAATTAAATATTTAAAAAAAATACTTAAACAGGGCCTGTCCAGTGCTCTTTGACCTCTTGTGCATAACGATTGTGGGGATAAGACATAAATATCACTGTATACCCTTGGGTACGTCCTTAGACCAGGCTGTACCTTGGAATTTGCTCTCTCCTCTAGACACTATGCCTAGTGGAATGTGAAGAGTGACAGGCTAGGCTGTAGAAATGAGAATGGGGTGACATGAGAGCACTACAGACACAAGGTAACACTCTGCTGGGTCCAGGCTTCTGGCTGTCCCTGGGATGTGTGCCTCCCAAGTGCTGGGATTAAAGGTGTGCGCCACCACGCTGGGTTTTAACTCTCTTTAGGGGGTGTTACACATCTGAACTGAAACAAATGAAACAAACTTCTTTTCCAGATAGTGAAGGAGGTGTTTTACAAAAGGAAGGTTTGGAGTCTGATGGGATGATACAGGCTTAGAATCATAGCACTCGGAGGAATCTAGAGTTCAAGGCCAACCTGGGCTATATAATGAGTTCCAGGTCAGCCTTGGCTATATAGGTGACCCTACTCAAACATAAAGGGAGATGGGGTAGGACTTAGGTTTGACAGATGAAAGTGCTTACATTCTCCCAGCCTACCTTGCATAGCTGGGTTGGGGTGAGGATGAACAGTGAACCCAGCCAGAGGCCCTACTTGTGCTGTTCCCAAACTGTCTAGTTTCCCTGGCACCTCTGCCACACCAAGGTCGTGAACTGTGTGGAACCCGAGCCCCTTGGTCCACAGTTCAGAAGCATCAGATGGGCACTATGACCCACTCTCATGGTTCTATGCTCTAAAACTTTGCAACCTATGCATCACACAGGTCTGCCGTGTGCCAGGCCCTCTGGATTACAGATGTTGACCAGGCTGGGTACCTAGGAGGAAGCTACAAACAAGTCTGCCACCAGGCAAACAGGAAATATACCCTATAGCTCCCAGTCAGGGACATCAGAGAGAACTCTCTGAAAGAGTTGAAGTTCATGGACAACAAGACTTGAAATGCAGAAAATGGGGATGGGATGTCTTAGCAGGGCAGGCAGAAGCAACAGCAAAAGTATAGATGTGAGGGGAGCAATGAACCTATCACTCCACCCTAGAGTTACCCCAAAGCCAAGCAAAGGGTTCAGTGGGGCTCACAGCCAGCTCAGAATTGCCTTCTGCCTGTTGTCATCCAAGCAACATGCTGGACCCCAGAGTCTACACTCAACCCAGGGGATTCAGGCCAGAGACCATCCTCAAAAACACTGACTGCTCCAAAATCCAAAGAATAAAGACAGTACTAGCCAGGGTCTGGCCTGGATCTACTGTAGGGATGGTCAGATGAGGGTCACAGGGACCCTTACCTAGAATGGTAAGTTTTGAGCCCCTCTGCCCTGGGGAGAGGTGGAGCCTGATCACAAGAGATAGATGAACCTGAGATGTTATAGATAAAGGTCACCAGGAATGTGCCTAGAATCTGCTTGGGGCCCTTGTCCTCCTCCACCCCCAGTGGGGGCTGCCAAGTTTAGCTCTTCTGCTTCTCTCCTTATTTGGGCCTCCGGGTGATAAGGCTGAAACATAAAGGGGGCCTGGCAGCAAGACCATGCATCCAGACAGACCACTGCAGAGGATGGTGAGTGCCTGGTGGGGAACAGGAGACCAGTCACACCCTGGTGGCAACCTCTGGACTAAGAAGGGACAGATCCAGGGTCTTTTGTACCTGCATTGGGCCCAGGGAAGTGATCTTTAGAGGGTGGAAAGATGACTCTCCCCGTGGCTTTCCTGGTAGTACTAGGAGGCTGCATGTGGTAGTGAGGGGGCACTTTGGGGAACTGGAGGGAAGACTCTTATCATCATCAGTATTACAGGCCAGCAGGAAGGCTGGGACCCGGAGCAAGGCTGCGGCCACCAAGCAGGCCCAACGAGGCTCTTCCAATGTCTTCTCAATGTTCGAACAAGCCCAGATCCAGGAATTCAAAGAAGTGAGTGCCCCATTTCTAATAGCCTGCCACCCCACAAGAACCCACTCCACACCCCATACACAGTCAGTGGTCTGGACTCCAACCTTGCTCCTCATACCACCCAGGACTCTCCCTTACCTTCCTTCTGCCCTGGAAGAAAGGGGGTAGTATCTCCCACCTGAAGTCCCCCTCCTCCCAGGCCTTCAGCTGCATCGACCAGAACCGGGATGGTATCATCTGTAAGTCAGACCTGAAGGAGACCTATTCCCAGCTAGGTACGTAGGGGAGAGGACAGTGTCCCTGCCCTTTCTGGATATTAAGGTTGAGTTCTCACCTCCTTACACCTCCCCTATCACACCTTTGCTACTCCTCCCAGTCCCCTAGCTGGAGTTGCTCCTGCCTGCCTGATACCCCTGCCCCTTGCTGGCTGGTTGGCTGGGAAGTAGGAGAGGGCAGCCTGGACCTTCTCTGAAGCATTCAGGGCCCCTGTGTTCATCTCATGTCCTGCTCTCACAGGCAGAGTGAATGTCCCAGAGGAGGAACTGGACGCCATGCTGCAGGAAGGGAAAGGCCCCATCAACTTCACCGTCTTCCTTACACTCTTCGGGGAGAAACTCAATGGTGAGCCTGCAGCAGGTCTGGGCCTCCTTAGTCAGACAGTAAGCCTGACATCACCTGACCCCCCCTAAATCCCCGGTAAGGCTCACCTGAAACCCACCTGAAATATGTCTGAACCCTGCCTGGCCACGGCCTACCCAGAGGGTGTGGGACCTACCTCTGTGCATCTTGGCCTGACTCGGGGATCAGAAAACATCTACTTCCAGATCCCAAATCCTATTCTCCCAGACAGGAAAATGGCCACTCTTAGCTCCTCTGATCCCCAAGGAACACTCTATAGGGCAGAATGCCCCCGACCTCCTCTGGTATTTGAAGAGCTCCCATGTACTCTAGGTTCTTCCTGGGTGGGGCCTAGAGTCTGGGAGTGTGACAGTTCACCTAGCTGCCTCCACCCCCAGGGACAGACCCTGAGGAAGCCATCCTGAGTGCCTTCCGCATGTTTGACCCCAGCGGCCAAGGGGTGGTAAACAAGGATGAGTAAGTGAGAACCTCTTATCCCCAGGGAGGACACTGAGAGGGCAGCGAGGTCATTTGTGTTTGAGGGGGTGTCACCTGAACCTAGGGTCTTCACTGTACTTTGGCGGATAACCAGCCCTTTCCTGGGCTATGACCACTCTCCCTCCCAGCTCAGGCTTTCCCTTCCCCCAGGTTCAAGCAACTCCTCCTGACCCAGGCAGACAAGTTCTCTCCAGCTGAGGTGAGACACTCTGGCTCCAATCAACATCTGTTCTTGGCACCCCAGCAGGGCACTGCAGAGGCCTCATGACCCAGTGTCCCCAGGGCCCAGAGCCCAGCCCCTGTGTGGTACAGGCAGAGGGTAACAGGACCTTTCTAGAAGAGGAGCCATCTCTTAAGACCTGGAGGGAGAACATAGAGGTGGTGGGTTTGTCTTTGTGGCCGGGGTGAACCCTTTGCTCCCCACCCCCACTGGAACCCACTTCCTAGTCTGTTCAATATTTGCCAACAGAAAAACATCAGACTGGAGTCTAGGTTTGGGGTTAAAAAAGTTGAGTCCCAAAGCACAGCTCTTAGAACAAAGCACTAAGCCATATCTCTTAGGGTGGTGCCTCTTGCAGGTGGAGCAGCTGTTTGCCCTGACACCCATGGACCTGGCAGGCAACATCGACTACAAGTCTCTGTGCTATATCATCACCCACGGGGATGAGAAAGAAGAGTAGAGACAGGCTGGGGTCATCTCAATAAACTCTGTTGCTGAATTAGAACTAAGGTGTTGGCTTGACTGTGGGATGGGGACGGACCAATCAGGGGCCATGAGGCCCTGTGAAGACCTCATGTTGATGCTGATCACCACACATACCAACTCACTTCCATTTGCCCCACACTGCCCAATAAAGAAACCACTATCTTGCCTGTGAAGACACTGAGGCCCTGAGAGGTAGATATCCAAGAAAGGAAACGGGATGCACACCCATCTCCATAAGGCCCAGGAAGAGGCCAGAAATGGCAGCCCTAAGCTCTTGAGGTCTGGGCAGAGAAAAAGCCTCTTGCTAGACTCTCAGCAAACTCTCGGCCCAATAGCCCAGATGGTGACCATAGGGGACCCTCAACCACACAGCTACCCACTCTACAGGCCCACTCCTCTCTTGGCATACTGGCTAGGTAGGCTCTGTGGAAAGAGCACAGAAGAATCTGTTTAAAAACATAGCCAGGGCTAGAGGCATGGCTCAGTGGTGGGAAGTTTGCTTAGCATGTTCCAGGTTCTGGATTCCAGCTCCAGCAAACACCCTTCTTGAACCTTGGTAAAGGTCCAAGAGAAAAGCCCTCTTTACCCAGAAAGGGAGGGAGAGGGAGAGGGAGGAAAGGGAGAGGGAGAGGGAGAGGCAGAGGGAGAGACAGAGAGGGGGAGGGAAGAACAGAGAGAGGGGGTGGGTGGGTGAGTGATAGGGATAAACAGTGAGAGAGGGAGGGGGTAGGGAGAGGGAGAGAGAAATCACAATCACATTCGAAGTATGATGGAACAAGGACAGTAGAGGCAGAGGAAGAGCACATGCAGTTCAGAAGAAATGCTAGAAGCTGGCCTCCTGCCTCATGAGTGCCTCATGCCATCTGTGGTGCCACCATGTCATACAACTGGAGAGTGGGGAGGGCACTGCCCCTACAGAACTATGAGTGTCCCCATCTTCTACCTTATCTACCAGAACCAGGGGTTACAGGAGCAGGTGATCCCCTACCCCAAGCACCTGAGGGCAAGACAGACAGAAAGGAGAGATTTTTCAACCAAACCAGAGCTGAGCAGCAGCTCTTTGTGCCCTCCCTCCCACCCTGCTGGGGGTGGGGGGAGACAGAGACAGAGACACAGGGACAGAGACACAGAGAGACAGAGAGGAAAAATCACAACTAACTTTACACTGACCCTTCGTAAAGACCCAAGAGAAAAGTCCTCTTTGCCCAGAAAGGTGCTCATGTTGACTTTTGTCTGGGACCTGGCAATTTAACTTCTAGGGGAAGCTTGAGATTTCAAGTAATCATAGCAGTTTCCATAGTTTTTTTTTTAAATTTTGTTTATTTATTTTCATTTTATGTGTATGAGCATATTGCCTGCTTGTATGTAAGTGCACCTCTGTTATGCAATGCCCGTGAAGGTCAGAAGAGAGCATCTGATTCCCCTGGAACTACAGTTATGGATGGTTGTTAGCCACCATGTAGGTGCTGGAAATCAAACACAGGTCCTCTGCAAGAGCGGTCAGTACTCCCAACCACTGAACCATCTCTCCAGCCTCCAGTTTCCATAGCTTTTAAATGGTCATAAAAACCAGACTTGCATGCCTTGCATGTACCCAGAGAGTAGTGCAGCCCACTACACTTAGCATGCCAACAGGAAAGGTATGAGCAGATCTAGGAGCTGTCCTGATCCTGTGGCAGGTCTGCTTGTCCAGGAAACTGGTTTCACAGAGCAAGATATAAGTTCACAATCCAAGCCTGTACTAAGAAATTGTGGAAGACTCTGAAGTGGATGAAAAGGTCATAGGAGGCCAGTGTGGTGATATATGACTTTAATCCCAGCACCAAGAAGGCAGAGGCAGGAGGATCATAAGCCAAAGCCAGCCTAGGCTGCCCAGCGCCCAGCAAGACCCTCTTTATATATATGTTATTAATTGGATGAGGTCTCTGCACTTCCATTGTCTTTGAGCAATTTCCCAAATCTGGGTTAAGGAAAACTAGTAGCAAGACAATGACTTTTGCCTGCAGATATGTAAATAAACTCCAAAGAAAACACACTTGATCCCCTCACCGTGCTCTGTGAAAGAAGGCGATTTTGCTTCTGTTAAGCAGGTTCATCTGGTGTTCCTGATTGTCTACATTGTCTACACATTGCTGCTCTTTGCATCTCCTCCAAACCAGCTGGCCATCACACTGGCTCCCTTATAAATGAAAAATAAATCTTTGCCATGTGTTCACTTTATTTTGTACTTGAGTCATGGCCCTACTCTGAGGGTAAAAAAATCTTTGGTTTCGAGAGGGGGTGCTCACTTGGTAAAGTGCTTGCTGTGCAAGAGTAAAGATCTGAGTTTTATCCCCAGAACTTGCATTAAAAGCTGGGTGTGTGGGCTAGAGAGATGGCTCAGCATTTAAGAGCACTGGCTGCTTGGAGAGGACCCGGATTCAGTTCCTAGCACCCACAGAACAGCTAACAACCATCCGTAACTTCAGTTCCAGGGAATCCAATGCCCTCTTCTGACCTCTGTGGGCATTGTACAACATGGATATACTTACATACATGCAGGCAATACACTCATACACATAAAATAAAGAGAATATGCTAAAAAATATATTTGTATGATTGTATGGACTAGGAACCATAATTAAACACTGTAGTTTACAAAGTGATTCATTGATAATGTGTGATTCTAGGATCAAAAATATGTGTCTTAGAACTCTACTCAAGGACACTGGTTGTGAGACTACAGGTTTGTTTTTCCACTGTATCCATTAGCATAATAAAATACTATCTAGGTATAAAATGGAGTTCAATTTAGAATGAATGAGATAGTAAGGTAAATACTAGAACAACAACAAAACACCACCCATGTGCAGGTATACACTCCCAAACCAAAACGCTTATGCCATCAAAAGTCTTACTCATTTTGTTTAAAAACAAGACAACAAAAGGGTGGAGAGGGTCTGAATATGATCAGAATACATTGTATGAAATTCTCAGAAAAAAGGAAAAAAAAAAAAAAAAAAAACATGGGAGGCAAGTGCTTGTAATCCCAGAACTGGGAGTTAGACATGTGAGTTCTTGAGGATCATTAGCCTGCTAGACCAACCTAATCAGTGAGTTCCAAGCCAAGTCTCAACAAACAAACACAAGGTGGACATCTCCTGAGGAATGACACCTGAGATTATCCTCTCTCTCTCTCTCTCTTTCTTCAGTTCTTCTTTCTAGATCACACACACACACACACACACATACACACAACACACATACATACACCCACACATCTTTCACATTGCTGGTATAATTACCTGGTAAGATTAGTCCTTTTTGCATCTAAATATCCTGTTACTATTAGTTTGAAGTGAATTAAGGGCAGGGATGTGTGTACATAGTATGTGGTGTGATGCAGAGTATAGTGTGTGGTATACGGTGTATGTGTGCATGTGTAGTATGTGGTCTGGTGCAATAGGGGTGTATATATGTGGTATGTGTTGTATACGGTGTGCATGTGGTATGTGGTGTGGTGTATGGTGCATTTATGTGTGTAGTGTGTGGTATGTGGGGTATGTATGTACAGAATAGAGACAGGGGACTGAGAGAAAGAGTGATCAATTTGGCAGCTCCCTCAGTTACTGTGTGGCCAGAGCTCTGAGTGTAAAATGCATTCTGTATTTTGAAGATTTAATACAGAGAAGAATGTAAAATATCTCACTAATAACTTCTATTGATATATGATGAAATGGGGATACATTGTATTCAGGATACATTGTGTTAAATTTAAATTAGTTTTTTTTTCTCATTGCAGCTGGTTTGTTTGTTTGTTTGTTTGTTTGTTTGTTTGAAGCAGGGTCTCCCTGTAGCCCCAGCTGTCCTGGAACTCACTATGTAGACCAGGCTGGCCTTGAACTCACAGAGATCCGCCTGCCTCTGCCTCCCAAGTGCTGGGACTACAGGCATGCGCCACCACGCCTGGCTAAATTTAAATTAGTTTTAAAACTAATTTCACTATTTCTTTTTACTTTTATGATATGACTACAAGAAATTTGAATTAACTATGTGACTCACATTCCTGACTCACTTCAATCAGACAGTTCTGAATTAGACTCTCTAATGTATTTATGCCTGTCATTTCTGAGGGCACTTGGAGGCAGTGATGGATTCAACAAAGCCCTCCCAGTGCTCCAACAGGGGCTTGAAAGGGTCAAGTGTCTCTCAGTGTTCTGATCCCTCAACAGAAGGGAGAGAGAAGAGATCCTAAGGATTTTTTTTTGTAGAGGTCAGATTGTTGCTTTAGTGGAAGACCAAAACCTTCCATGTGCAGTGGTCTCAGCCTCTGCCTGAGCATGTTGGAGGAACATGTAAGGCAGGCACAGCTGGGGAAAGCCCTTGGGTGGGCCAGGCTGCTCCCATCTTCCACATTCCAAAGAAGGAGCTCTTTCAAAGAGATCCTCTCCCAATCCCACAGGCTCCCATTATGACGCCACAGAGTCCCAGCCTGGGCCTCCACGGCTGTAGTCAGGCAGCAACTTCCACTGGAACACCGACCCAAGAAATGCAGCAGAGTCTCAGAAGCCCACATGCCTCAGACTGCACCTGGGTTCTGTGTGGCTTGGGAACAGGCCTCTTGCATACTCCCACCACCTACCACCCTGCACCCCTGTTACTCCTAAGGCTCTCTAAGGGGAGCCTCATTGGGAGGCTATATACAAGCCTACCTTCTCCCATACGTCTGTCTTCTAGAAGTCCCAGAAGCCTCCTTGCTCCAAGGATACCTCCCCACCTCCCAACCTAATCCACTTCCAGATATCCCGGAGCTTTGTCTTCTGAGATCTCCCACCCGACTCTACCTCAGAGCCTGATGTAGGGGACCCCAAGCCTCTTGACATTACTGCTACCGTGTCAGAGCCTCCCCACCTCCCTGGAGGTGCTCTAGTCACCTTCTGCTCCTCCTCTTAAAGCACCCCACTCCTTCCCCACCCACATCCAACACCCCAGCAGATCTTGGATGTAAAGTCTTACAGAAGCCATGTTTCCTTACA